TTCAATCTAACTGAAAGAATATCAAGTTTGTATTTGAAAAGTGGGTAATAAGTAGTCAAAATGGTTGACTGGCTTGATAAGTGCTGTAAATCAGTGTTCAATTGCACATTTCAATTACCTACGGTTAGTTTAAAACTTCATTGACCTCAAACAACTCACCTGAGTAGTTCGAGGATAGATAGATGTTAGTTCGGGGGCAGAGTCAAATAATGGTAAAAGAGGCCGTTAATTCCTTAATAGAAGATTAAAACTTGAGCACTGTTGTGGAATGTAATTCCAGCCCTAGTTGATTTATTCAATGTATCTCACATAGGTGCGGAACAGTATTATGTAACTGGATAACATTTCAGATAATATTTATTGTCCATGGTCATATCAAGATAACTACACAACTTTGAGACATTCTTTATATTGTCCTAATTTCCTTGCCTCCTTTGCGATATGGGTAGTAGGACCTTCTTAACCCATAAAGCTTATTTCCAAGTGAGTTTCGTAGGTATAAATACCACTCTAATCTCAAACAGCCTTAATGAGACTCCTACGTAAAGTCTTTCTGAGGTGCCTTCTTTGTCTGGTAATACTGTATATTATTGCCACTGTTGTTATCACTACTAGTAACATATGTGTTACCAACATAAGTCATGTTTTTCTTACGATTCCTAAGGAAGTTATCAGTTATTTGGGAGGATGATTGTTGATGAGTAAGGTGTCTTTAATGTGTCTGGTTTCTTGTCATAGATTTTCTCTTTTACTAGTATTTTTCTGGCCCTGTTATTATTATTATTATCATTATTATTATTAGTCCCTTGGTTTCCTAATGGAACATAGGGATTCAGTAGCACATCTCCAGTGACCTCTGTTCTCTGAGATCTTTTGAACCTGGTTCCACGACAGCCCACAAGCTCTCATTTCCTCCTCGCACGACCTCCTCCATGTCACCCTCGGACGTCCAACTCGTCGCTTCCCATGGGGATTCCACTCGAATGACTGGCCTGACGCGTGATGTCCTCAGTCGGCCTTCTCAGTGCATGTCAAATCCATCTCCACTTCCTTCTAGTGCATATTTGTTGAGCGATAGGTTCTTGCTTCGTTGGTTCGTTCCCAAAGCTCCTTGTTGCTTATTCTAACTATTCTGGCCATCTGATCTTCAGTATCGAGCCAGCGTAAGCAGTTGTTGATGAATGTCTGTAGTTCATTGGAAATCCCTTTCGTAACGCGCCAAGTCTCTGAACCATACAGAAGCACTGACTTGACGTTGGTGTTGAAAATCTAGATCTTGTTCACGCTTTATACTGAGTGCAGAATATCTGCACACTGGTTTCAGGCTAATGAAGGCCTGTCTTGCCTTTCCGATTCTGACTTTGACGTCATCGTCTGTGCCGCTGTCTGTAGTTGAAACAGTGCTTCCTAGATAGGTGAAGGAGGTTACTTCCCTTAAGTTTCTCCCGTTGATGGTGACTGGAGTTTGTTGTTGTTGTTGGTTGAATATCATCATCACCTCCGTCTTCTCTACATTCACTTGAAGTCCCATCTTCCTTGGCTGCCCTGTCTCTTCTGTCAACTTGTTAGTTTTCATCTGCAGATCTTCCAGTTTATGTGACATTAGACACAAATCACCGTAGAAATCCAAATCTTCTAGGTCGTTTCCCCCGGTCCAACGTATCCCCCTCTTCTCGCTCCTCACGGTCTGTTGCATGATCAAGTCGACCACAATCAGGAATATCATGGGGGATAGTAGGCAGCCTTGTCTTGTCTTGCTCCTGTCTTCACTTCACTTCAAAAGCATCATTGAGCTTCCCATTGTGAATTACTTGGCATGTGGCGTCGTCATATATCTTCTGTTGAACGAGGTTGATAAAGGTTTGTGGTATTCTGTAGTGTTGAAGCAGTTGCCAGATTACTTCTCGGTCGACGCTGTCGAAGGCCTTCTCAAAGTCGATGAGGTTGAGGTGAGGTAGAGGGTTGACTGCCATTGTATACTCTGTTCTATGATGATGTGTAGCGTTGTAATTTGGTCCACACATGATTTGTACTTCCTGAATCCAGCCAGCCAGCCTGTCTGTTCCGTTCGTAGTTTTGAATTCAGTGCATCCTTTATTCTCTCCACGATGACGCGGCTTAATATTTTGCTTTGGGTGGAGAGGAGTGTGATTTCGTGCTAGTTCTTGCAAACACTGAGGTCTCCCTTCTTCGGGAGTTTGACAAGATAGCCCTTCTTCCAGTCAATCGCCATATACCTTTCCTTCCTTCCAGACATTCTGCAATAGTGGTGTGAACATGTGCGCTGTTTTCTCTGCGTCTGCTGTCATTGCTTCTGGCGGGATTCCATGTGGTCTTGGTGCTTTCGCGCATTTCAATAGCTTTATGGCTCTCAGTACTTCGACTTTTGTTGGATGGTTTGTGTTCACTTGTAGTTCTGTGACTGGGCTGCAGGTGGTATTTCTGGATGAAGTGCAGGTGGTGGTTGATTTAAGAGCTTCTTGAAGTGGTCGGCTCATTGTTTCCTTTGTTTCTCCTCTTTCGTAATTAAATTTCCTTCATCATCTTTTATTGGTTTCGTCTGCTTTGATATATTTGATACAATGTTGTCAGGTCTCTACTATCAGCAGCCTGTTCTGTTTCACTTGCCAGTGTTTCGTATAAGTGTCTTTTGTCTTTCCGTGCACTCTTCTTCACTTCTTTGTCCAGTGTCTTATACATTGTACTCAGCTCGTCCACTCTTTGAGCATCCTTGCACTGGTTCATCTTCTGCTTCACCATCCTCCTCTCCCTCCTCTATCAGCTTCCAGATATCCATTGAGATCCACTCCTTATCTTCTTTCTTCTTCCTTCCTTATACTGTTGTGCAGGTTTCTTTCCATATAGCTTTCAAAGAGTTCCAGTGCTCATCCACACAGGTTTCTTCAGGGATGTTCCTCGGTATCTCCCACTTTGTCTTGATGGCTGCTGTGAAGATGTCCTTTGTAGTTTCGTCCTTCAGTTTCCGAGTGTTGTACTTGAACTGCGGTCTATCATCAGCTTCTTTGAAGGCTTTCAACTTGATTTGGAAGATTCCTTGCACTAGATAGTGAGTGATCTGAACCTACATCTGCTTCTCTTCTTGACCTTGTGTCAAGTAGGCTGCGTCTCCACTTTCTTGAGATTGAGGTGAGGTTGATCTGATTTTTAGTGTGTCCTGGTGTCTGGTGAAATCCATGTCGCTTTGTGGATATCCTTGTGCTTGAACACACTGCCTCCAATCACCAAATCGTTGAATGCGCAGAATTCTGCAAACAATTCTCCATTCTCGTTCATCACCTCACCTAGCGCTTCTTGGCCCATGGTCAGTTCTCTGCCTGTGTTTTCCGCTCCTATTCGACGACGAATATACCCATTTATTCATGAATACGAACAAGACATGCATCAAAGAAGAAATATTTCTTTTCAACGAATTCATTATATCAAGCTGTACAGTCGTACTGATTATCAGTAAAATGACAGGCAATTGCACTGAAAAGTTGCTCAGTCAATGTGTAAAATATACAATTAGTGTTGTTGTTGGTTTTTGTGCAAGTGGAAGAGACAAAAAATGGGTCATTGAATAAGGAAACAAATTGATGAACAAGTGGTGAGATAAGAGACAAGTGCTGTCAAAGAATTGTAAAACGACGATAGTTTAACTGAAGCGTGCGAAATAGATGAATGAATAAGGAACGAACTGATGCTAAATAGTGAAATATAAGTCAAATACTGCCAATGAAGTGAAAATTGGTGATAATGATAATAATAATAAAAGTATAACAAAGTGAAGTGAAATGAAATTGACAAAACAACCAAAATGAATTATCAAGGTCAAGATGGAGAAAAATATTTCACAAAACGTTTTTGAATGCAAAGTTTCGGCTTCTGTTCATGTATATCTAATGCTTAAGGCATTCATAAGTGATGGAAACGTAAAAGTTTGAAGTTGTTCAATTTAACCTTGTAAATTACTATAAAGGATGAATTTCAAAGTGCTGATTGATTTAACTCTATTAGGTGAAGTATTTTTTCTTCGCTCGCCTTTGGTAAGCCAAACTGGGTAATGTTCAGCAACACGTTTTCGGAGGTTCATCAACTCCATAGGAGTATGTGAATTTGTAGATAGATACTTATAGATGCGGACGCAAGTGTAAGTTTATCCTTCACGTATTGTCAAATCAGATGGGGTCTGGAGAAAATCACTCAGTCTACCAGCATAGAAGCTACTATTGATACACCTTGACAGACGGTTTATCAACAACTCGGTTGTGGTGTCACCTTTAAATTCCAGATTCATGATTAAGATTTTCTTAGGAACTGTTTCGTTTCTTCAGATTCTTATCAATAACTCTTTTAGGCTATCCATTATTGTATTTTAGTGGGATTATCTGTCATTTTGTTAGTTGCTTGGAGGCTATCGGCAGGAAGCCGTCTACCTAGGTTTCGTGATTTTTGGTACTCGTCAGCAAGGCGTATCTGCGACCTCGACGGAACTGATGTCCCGTCTGAGATTCGAACTCCTGTCACTCAGTGTTGTAGTCAGCGACTTTACCACTGAGCTATTCGGGCCGCGACTGACCTCCTGTAGGATTGGTCACGGGATGCTGAGCTTCCTATCTTGGTTGCCACGTTGCAAATATGATCGATAGGATTCGGTCTGCACTCAGGACTAGACAACATGAAATTGGTTGCACTCCCGTCACCAATCAGTATATCTGTCACTTTACCTAGTATAGTACAGCTTGATATAATGAATTCGTTGAAAAGAAATATTTCTTCTGTGATACATTTCTGGTTCCTATACATGACTTTCTGTTCAGGAATATCATTTTGTAATATTAATTTCATTTTTAAAAATGTTTTTCTTTTACAGAAAATTTTCACTTTAATGTATGAATTACAGATTAGAATAATCATTTCTTAACTGTTTCGATTCTTTGCTCTCTCCTCAACCCCTCAACCCCTCTACTCCCCTGCTCCACCTCCCACTTTTCATCTAGGTATTTTTCATTTAGTCCAGAGTTTAAGAATGTATTTCATGTCACCTGGATTATGGCCACAAATGCCAAAAGAATTTCGTCATGATACAGCATTAATGGATCCGTTAGATTTGCTTGCCTTTTATATTATGGATGAAAATTTTCTTCAATCAGTTCTTCTTCAAGCCACTGTATTTGAATATCAAGTAAGTCACTGTGAGTAATATTCTGTACTTAAGATAAAGGAGTAGACACTTAGACCTTGGGGGAAGGATCTGATGTGGATCCAGAGTTTCTAACTGACTAACTGAGAGAATCATGTTTGTACGGTACTAGTTTGAAAATTCTTATACCAAAATCAACAATGTGGATAAAAATGCTTTTAAAATATTTTTGAACAGTCAATGTTCTTGATTAGTTCAAAAAGTTTTCCTCAAGATTTTTCAAGCCTATTTATGATCATCCAATCAAAAACAAACCTTGGATGTTGTACATAGAAAGTGAATTTCTGGCAAGGTCATCAGTGAAGCTCAGGTATCTTGGATTACTGAAACAAAAGAATTACTCAATCTGTCAGTGTTATTACTTTTCAACCTACAGTCCAAACAAATTGGTGTGATTTGTGATGATTCTTGGATGCTATTTCGCCACTGCAGAGGCATCCACTCAGGTGTTTAAAGCTATCTGTCCTAGTTCTGAATCTTAGCAGCGACAACATTATTCACTGAAAGGCTGGTAATTGCAACTAACGAGTTCTAAATAAGACGAAACGTGGCTGATTGTGTGTGTGTGTGTGTGTGTGTGTGTGTAGTGAAAAAAACTATGGATAACCATCGACCCGCCATAATGAATATTGCAGAACACAGAGCAGTTGGCCGTCTGATTATGTATATATGGAGCTCGTTTCGCTGTGAAATACACTGCCACTAATGTACATAAGGTAACCAACAAACTTCGACAAATTCCCTTACGTACTTACTTCCGAGAATTGGCAACCATCAATCAAAGAAGCAAATGGTCAGTGGTATGTGGTACATGTTTGAGTATAAAAAAAGGAAATATGGACTACGCTTTGATAAGTTTTACCACAAAGTTTTCAAGCTTAGATTCAGAATTGTTCAACCGAATCGCACGTCATTCAGCTAACATCTTGTGACTATCTAAAGAAAAATATCGAGAACTTAGCGACTAGACCAAACAGCACGACCAGTCAATGTATGTAATCCATTCCTGAAGGAGATAAGTCGCCGTTCAAATAGCTGAATGGTTGTTATATTTTGGAATACTGCTATGTGCTACACCCGCTAACAATGCACGGATATCAAATTTCAGCCACCATTAACGTTCAAACACAGTCCTATTTGATTTTCGACCCTATCCGATGGACGTGTAAAAACTTGTATCAGGGTCGAAAGATCGAAGACCCAAAGACAAACGAAAATGCAGCTAATATATATGGATAGTTCGCTGTAAAAACTAATAATATTGATTGACTGATCCACTGTCTGTCTGTCTAACTGTAGAAGGGATACCATAAAATGCATTTTAATTGGTCCCTAGGCTTCTCTATCTATCCCCATATCTATGATAACGTCACTGACTGCAATACTAAATGACACGGGTCCGAATGCTAGGCAATACATCAACATCTTCGAGTTCGTAAAGACGCCCTGTTGACGAAGACCACACAAGTAAGAAACCTAGGTGGTGCATAGGGCTTTCTGCTGATTGCCTTCAACCAACTAACAAAATACAGTTGAAGATGACATCCAGGCAGTAAATTGTTACTGATAAGTAGTGTGACCGAAGTTAGTTATGTTATTCTCTTTCCTATTTATAACTTACCAACCGGATGTATTTACACCTTAGCAGACATCACGAAGCCAACTTGGATAAGTTGTACCAGTATGCGAAACCAATAGTGTAACAGGATAAATAAATTGCTTGTAGAAATCAGCTTTTTTTTACACTGGTTAGTTAGTTGGGAGCAGTTAGTAGGAAGCTGTTGACGAAGGTCATGTCCTTGTTGGCACTTATCAGTTTTCCTACGTGCAGTCACTGTCATACTGGTTTGAATTCGTCTTCGAGACATTACTTATAAACGGGAATGAGTTTTACACGCAGTCGCCTATAAAAATCAATATACCGACCAGTTATTCGCTGTACATATCTGAGGCCTACAAGTGCCAGATTAATGAAGCACAAATTGATTACCCGATAGGTAATTTGCTCAGAAACCCTAGGTTTGTATAACATGCCAATATACTGAATAGTATGGTTGTTTGATCGTCTACCCTCTATCTGGATAAGCTTGTAAACATTTAAGAAAGTTAGTATCAATATTGAATATCTCTGTGCTACAGGCTATCGATTTTGACGAAGCTTAATATTCAGCGGAGATTTATGGCTCAGCGGAAGGAGGTTGATGAAGCTGAAGATTTCAGTATTGGTCATAACACCTTACCATGTCTACAATCAATGAATGTGCATAACACAACTGTTAGTCAAAAATAATGTGAACAGACTCAATACTCAGTTAATCTGGGCGCCAGTAAAAGTTTGAAATAGTCCGTAACATTGAAGAGAAAACTATGAAGCTAAGTGTTCATGTGTATGATTCGGCACTTATTAGCAGAAATCCATTTTCCGAAGGATACTCATATTTCCTTCCCATGAAGTTTATATCCAACTCTTTCAATGGTCAAACTGATCATCAATACGTTGCTCATCGTCTTTAATTTAATTACATTTAGGATACCTAGAAGACAATTCTGGATTCAAAACTACGGCCGAAACGGGCTGGCTGAGTTCAGGAAAAACACACCATATGCAGATCAAATTGTAACGTTACGCTACGCATCATCATAGACCACAGCACAGAATGGTAGTTCACTCTCTACCTCAACTTTATCGATTTTGAAAAGGCGTTCAATCTAGGCGTCGGCCGAGAAGTAGTTTGGCAGCTGCTTCAACACTACGGTTTTACTGTCACAAATCTTTATCAACCTCACTCAACAGCAGCTATATGATGATGATGCTACATGCCAAGTGATTCACAATGGAAAGCTCAGTGACACCTTTGAAGTGAAGTGAAGACGGGAGTAAGACAAGATCCGAATTTACAACACTGAGTCAGTTAAGTCAATGCTTTTATGTAATGGTCGAGACACTTGGGGCGTTACGAAAAGCATTTCCAACAAACTAAAGACATATGTGGACAGTTGCCGCCTAAGCTCACTCGATATTGAAGATCAGATCAGAAGGCCAGGAAGAATAAGCAAGGAGGATCTGTGTCCTGACAAGGAACCAACCAACCACGAATCTATTGCTCAACAAATATGCAGACGAAGAAAGTGGAGATGTATTAGATTGGATTGGACATACACTGAGATGACGTTTGGGGACACCGTGTGCAAGGGCAGGTCGTCGAGGGGAATCCAAATGAGAAAGGACGAGTTGGGCATGCAAGGGTGATATTGAAGAGATGGTGTGCGGAAGAAATGTAAACTTCCTGGAAGTCGTGGAGCCAAGTTTGAGAGACTGCAGAGAAGAGAGTGAAATGGTAACGTGTTACTGAAGCCCTATGTTCCACTAGGACCCTAAAGGAAAAGTAATAATAATGATAATACGACTTTAGCCAAGAAAAACTTTTCTTTTCTACGAAATCATTTTTTTAGCTGTACATTTGTGAATATATAGTAAAAAGGATAGGATATCGCAGAGTAATTTCTTGTGAAAGACCAATGTAAACTGTATCATAAAGAAGCCTTACATAGTGGGGAAATAAAGAATTTCATTACAAAATAAAGAGTTACGTCATAGGTGGGTTATTTAGAGTAATCGACAATCTACGATGGTTATGGTTTGAAGTTTTGAATTGCCAATGGATCTAACTATTCTCAAACTCGTTTTGAGTGGCTTGGTCGCACTTTGTACAAGATTTCGAAGGATTTATACAGAGGGGTCAAATATCTTGAGTTTACTAAATGTTCTCTGATAGAGTTAAGGAAAGATTTCCATTCTACCCTTGTCAGCTAATTTGGATGGTGTTCATAAGCTCGTTGCATGAGCTGACACATGATATTGTCAATGTATTTGAATCTACAGGAGTAAGTAGACTGATGCAGGTTCAACGGTAAAATCTTTTTCGAAGTAGTATACATAACTTCTGTGGCATTTTTCGGCTTTATATTCTTATCTATAAATTTCAGTAGGTATCCATTTATCATCAGAATTTTCTGGCAAGTTTTCTAGTTCACTTTTTGTATTATCCTCTCTGGATATTCATCTTATTGTTGAAGGGAATGAATTGATAAGATTCCTTGTTCTACATAAACGAGAAATAGCTTTGGAAATTAATCAACTTCATTTTTCAAGTAGGCTGTTTGTAAGCACATTTCTGGGCTGAAATGTGATCTTTTCTTTGAAGTTGGACGTCAAAGAAGTGGAATTTTAAGTGAATTTGATAAACGAATGAAAAGTATGGATGGTATGAAGCAGGTTTTTGAGATTTGTATCCTTATTACAAATAATAAAAGTGTATCATCATTTAGATAGGGATGAGAAATCTTCATTGCTCAGCCAGTGTGAGTACGATTGAGTGAATGGTAACGTATCAAGAGTTCATATGACAGTCGAATAAAATCCTTGGTGGCCAGAATTTGGATCCCGTAGCTTTCAGTTAGTAGAAATCCAAAAATGGTTCATATCTCCACTTCAACTTTGTTCATCACCTTGGTAGTACGTACTACTGCCAAGGATACTTTAAAGTGGTATGTAGTGCAGTAGTTTCTAGTAAACGTGATGCTACAACGATCAACCTGTGGTTTTTCTGGATAGATTGAAAGTAGCTAAAGAAAGAGGCAAGTAAACGATGAACATAGATGATCTACATGGACAGAACATTCCATTGTAAGGTAATCGGTTGAATAAATGATCTTTCATTGTACTCAATCAATATCTATGTGATTAACATCATAGTTTATGTGTATTTCCTTCATTTTTAGATTCCTAGTCGAGCATTAGGAACTGATGGTTGGACATCTTTGGAAGTTGTTAAAGCTTTGAATGAAGTTGGCGGTGATTATAATATAAAGTGTCCAGTAGTTGAATTCGCTGATTTCTATTCACGTGGACCAAATGCACAGGTATTATCATGATTATTATTATTGGCAATAATTGTGTAGAAACATCCATTCTATCCCTTTATATTCCTATCCAATATTTTTTTCCCTTTAACTTTGATTCCTCACTAGTCGACAGTTATCGTTTTCAGCTTAACTCACTAGTAGCTGTAACATCACTATAGTATTACCACCGGATCTAAACATCCAGATCATCTTTTGTTTGAAAAACTGACAAAATGTCTGACATACAAACGATGCTTATCATTTGAAGGGATGAAACTGATGCGAGCGAATCGATCAGCCATCACTAACAGGGGCCAATATGCCTATGGGTAAGCACATTCAGCTGACGATTCGGGAATTGGATGAAATATCTATCTCGTATTCCACTGCTAGCTATCATGACTGTTGGAACACATTTTCAGTGCAATTCACTGTGATGTATACCAACTTGAAATCAATTAATAAGTAACATGCTGTGAGATTAGATTTCCATAAATTCCCAATGAGAAGTTGTAACAAATGGCTGCAACCAAGTGATTAGTTATTTTGACTACATATCACCAGTGTCCTCAAACTCTAAACTTCCTCGTGCTTTTTCAGTTTCCCACCCGCTCATTCACCTACTGATTATAGAAACTTCTAACACACATCTCACCTTCTTTCCATTCGTGAATGAGAAGAAGACACTTCTTTTTATCATCAAGGAAATATTCCTTTTCAACAATACTTTATCAGGCAATACTACAGTTGTATTCACCATTCATAAAATGTCAAATGGTTACATCAGGAAGTTGGTCAGTCAATATTGTAGTGAAGGTAGAGAGTTTTACCGACGTTGAGTGGCCACCAAATGACCTTGAGGTGACCAATCAAGTTGAAGTTAACTGTACAGCCATTCTAGGAAGCATTGAATTATTGAAAGGATATCATGGAACATGGATACATTTTAGCACACTTTCGATGATGATAATTTCAGCTGAATCAGACGAGGAATTATCTCCGAAACAAGACAACATTATGGAGAAGAAGTTGACATTGTCGTATGCTACACGATCATCTTGCACACATACGAAGATCACTGGACTCCCCAATAGATACCATTGAACTTCAAGTAAGTTTGTAGCATGCGTTAAGTCAGTGGGCAGCGAACAGACAACGAGCTGGACCCGTTTACACCGAATCCACTCAAGTTTATTCTTGGAAATCTATACACAATCACCTTCCAATGGGCCGGCCTTTTCCAATCTTAACATGGAGATGCAGACAGATATCAACTCTTGTTTACAGATACTTGTATTTTCCCGTTGACTCAGTATACTGGGTCGAATGACTTGAACTTTGATGGCAGATGGTCTCCTCACGTGAAGGCCTCGATACTGTGAGAATACTCTAGTTGGTGGCTAGAGCAGTAGAATTCGAGTTGCATGTTTCTTCCTGTTTGGAAGTCATCAGTCGGATCTATCCCCCAAGCAAGTGAGTGACAGTGCTCACATTGAAAACTATCACTGCGAACACCACTGTCAGCAGTCACCAAGTTAACTGGAAGGAATCAACTCTGTGTGACCAGATCCCAACCGACAAGTGTGAACAAATTGCATGACAACAACAGAAGAAGCAAGAGGCATAGCAGAATATTTGAAGCCACATAATCAATTGTGTTTATCTACATCCAGCATGCACATAGGAACAGAATTACTTTCAACATCTATACAATACTGGTACACAGAACATTTGTAAAGACATTTCAATAAAGTTGTATGAGGCAGACAATAAACTGATACCTAAAGTCATCAACGTAATGTTCCTTCAGAAATCCTCTACTCTTTCCTTTAAATCCTTCTACTGTGGTGAGTACAAATAAATTGGACATGATAGGGAACCGTTTGCAGGCTCATTTGCATCCATATAACAGTTCAGGAGGTTGAACGATGTGCAGTTATATCAACAAAGATCTGTATGGTATGTGCTTTCACTCTGTACCATAAGAAGCAGTCGAGAACGTGAATGACTTCCTAGACATTGTCGAAGGACCATATGAAGTCTAATTTTTAGTAAATTTCCACATTAAATGCTATAGAGGAGCAAACGTTTTCTTACTGGTGCGTTCAACGTCATTCGGTTTTCTCTCAAGGACAACAGAATTCTGTAGTTCCATCAGAAAATGCATATAAACTCCATTCTAGATTTCAATCTCTGAGTCTTTCTCTCCTACCTTGATTCGGTGGTGTTGGTCAGAACTAAGGCATTGATGATCGTAAGAGAACTAATTTACAATTTAATTTAGCACAAGCCATGAACCCTTTTGCTGGCAGCTCTGTATACCATGAAATTCAGTGTGTCTTTGAAATGACTGACAAAACAATAGGAGTGACGAGAACACTACTAACACAATGAGACACTTGGATTGGATAAGAACAGTGGCTGTTCTCCCTCCGAAATTTAAACTTCACTGGGCTGTGAAAATCGTAAGGCGAAGACCGATTTGTGATTGTAAGGAAGACTTATTATTACATAAAATGTATGAGTTATATACAGTTTTATTCTGCATATAAAGTCACTAGATCAGAAATCGGAGACTTATTTTCATTGGTCAGCCGAAGGACAGAATCGTCCAATCAGGTTTTAACTGACCACTCATTAACATGAAATCAAGGCTGAAATCCAAATCTTCTACCTTAGTGACTAATGACTTAAAATGTTGATTTCACTTGAGGTCACTTTCAATCAGTCTTACATTTTGATAGTATTCACTAGTATTGCTACTGTTGATAAACTATTAAAATTTTTAAAACAATCTATTTCCAAGGTATTTCTTTATTCATTTGAACATCGTACATCTGGTTTAACATGGCCTGAATGGACTGGTGTTATGCAAGGCTATGAAGCTGAATACATTTTTGGTGCTCCATTCAATCAAGCCTTCACAGATACATTTTATAATTTTACACATGATGAAAAACGACTCAGTGAAGAGATGATGAGATTTTGGACAAATTTCGCTTCGACAGGGTAAGTGAACAGGAGTGTTACTAACCTTTTTCGCAAAAAAGAATTGAACGATTAGATTGTATGTAAGAACGAAAAGATAGTGCAAAGGTTGAGTGGCTCGCTGAGTGACCTTGAACTGTACTTGGTACTGTCTAACCAATGAACTTTTAGATAAACATTTTTCGAAATGAGAAGAAATCAAGTTTTGAATGATAGTTGTAGGCAAGTCAAGTTTGCAGGATTTTCAACTTTTTCACTGTCTTGGGTTGAACAAAGTGTGAACATAGAACTAGTTTGTGTGGTTTATCAAAGGGTTGTCCAATTTAATCCCACATCACAGAATGGATTAGAGTTCCCCTCTAAGGTATAGAAAGTGACGAGCCAGAGATTATTATTTATTATTTTTCCTTCGGGTTCGTAGTGAAACATAGGGCTTGAGTAGCACCCTTCCATTGCACTCTATTCTCTGCAGTCTTTTGAACCTGGCGCCATGACAGCTCACAAGCTTTCGTTTCTTCCTCACATGATCTCCTCCATGTTGCCCTCAACTGGGATGCCTAACTCGTCGTTTCCCTTTTGGATTCCACTCGACGGCTTGGCCTGGCACGTGAAGCCCCCAGTCTTCCTCCTCAGTGTAAGCCAAATCCATCTTCACTCTCTTCTTCCGCATATTTATTGGGTGATAGATTCTTGGTTGGTTCTTTACCAGAGTTCCTTGTTGCTTATTCTTTCTGGCCATCCATCTGATCTTCAGTATCGAATGAGCGTAGGCAGATGTTGATGAGTGTCTGTAGTTTGTTGGAAGTGCTTTTCGTGACACCCCAAGTTTCTGAACCATCACATAGAAGCACCGACTTGACAATGTTGTTGAAAATCCCGATCTTGTTCTTTGTGCTGAGTTGAGTGCAGCAGATCTCCCCACTGATTTCATATTAATGAAAGCCTGTCTTGCTTTTCCGATTCTGGTTTTGAAATCCTCATCTGTGCCTCCTGTAGTTGAAACGACCACTTAGGTAGGTGAAAGAGACTACTTCTTTTACGTTTCTCCGTTCATGGTGATTGTTGTTATTGGTTGGGTATCTTCATCACCTCCACCACAGAAGTGTGCTTTTTTTCAGCCTCAGCACCACAAAGTAAATACTTTCTGGATTTTCGTATGGTTTAAACTTGAATCGGTAAACCTCAAGTCCTGGCTTTTCACTTCTACTCTCCAGGTGATTGCTTGTAATCTTCAAAACTGAAAGCCCTAACTTTCAATAGATTTATTTATCGTAATTGCCTGGTCACTGCTGACTTTCTGAATTTTTCTTACAAAAATCTTAATCTTAGCAAAAACCAAATTATTCTCCATATAAAAAGAACAAGAAATTTAAACCATTAGCCCGCCAAAAGTCAATTTATAACCCACTCATTTCTGGTTGGTCATTTCAAGGACGGTAGAATTTTCCAATTCCTATCAGGCACAATTTTTCGACTTTTATGGTTAATTCATAAATCAATGACATTGAGAAATTACTGTAATTTGTTGTTAGGGGCCAGCAATGGAATCTAGGAGGCGTAAATCATCCTCATCATCGTCTTCATCAGCTTGACGTGTCTACAACTCGATGAGTGATGCTATTCCTGCTGAAGAGACTTGAACCCAGTGTTGATCGCTTCAAAACCACCAAAGCGTTATCCACTAGGTCATTGGGTTACAAGAGCTACTTCTTATGCAGTGGGTATTAGTTGTTACCCATTAATTGCTACGGATTGCCATCAGTCGTTGGGATGCAGGCATAGCCATGCAGTTGACTAGTGTCAGATAGGACGAAATGCTATTTTGATGAGTACATCTGTGTTTCATAAGCTGTTGGAGGATGAAAATCTAATGGACGCATACTCCTGCAGATCTGAAACTAGTTTTGTTCTCTCGAGTTTACTTTTTTCGAACTCTAGTTAAGCGTAATATAACCATGAACCCAAGGATTTGAACACGTTATTAGTCAAGCTAATTCCCTCATGGTTGTCATAAGAAGACTTATCTCCGTTCTCATAGACTGAGATGATCAGTGGAGTAGACCGGTCTGACTGGACTACCTCTGATTTTCATACACTACATAGTACCTCTGTCACTCTAATGAGTGATTCCCAACCTCCATCCTTAAAAAAATTCAGTAACAGACTGCCAGGTCCTGGTGCTTTGCATCGTTTCAGGTTAAATACAACTTCCCCAACTTCAAAGGGAGTTCTACGGCCGAAATCTACATTCCATTCAGGTCCAGACTGGATGCTAGGGAACTGAAGCTTTCCTATGGGCCCACTGAAGCGTGCTTCAATGTGTTTCACCAATATGCCAACAAAGATAAAACCATTTTTTTCAGGATTACTTCGTACCTCTTAGTGCTCGTACTTATCTGCTTGCGTGAACCAAATGAGGTTTTAGACGGTATAATACGCAGAAGACTCTGATGAAGTCAATTTCAGTTCCGAAAACATGTAAAAGGTATGTTGAAATAGTCTGTTGTCCTCGTTTTTTGTTAAAGAAGGCAGGAGTTTGTGATGCTGAATGTGACTGATGCTCTCTGATGAAGCTGAATGGCTAGTCACTTTTGCAAGTTATGGATTATTGATGATTTTTAACATTTATCTGTAGAATTAGGAAGTCAAGTCTGTGTTCCCACATTTTTTTGATAGCGATAGCACACAAGTTAACGACTTTTTTGTACTCGTCGGGCAAGACGCATACTGAAGTTTGAAGTAATTGGCCCCGGGTCAAAGTCTTGTTGGGGACAGCATTACTATCTAGAAGGCAGATGCACCCAGCTGAAGGGTCTTAAATAGGACGAAACGTACTAATTACTATCGATCAGTATTATCGCAGCCGAGTTGGATTTAGCGCTGCATTATTATTATTATTGTTATTTGTCCTTTGGGTTCCCATATGGGACATAGGGATTCACTAGCACGCTTCCATTGCACTCTCTTCTCTGCAATATTATCAACCTGGCTCCACGACTTCCCTTAGACTCTCATTTCTTCCTCACACCATCTCATCCATGTCACCCTCGGACACCCAACTCATCGTTTTCACTTTGGATTCCACTCGAGCAACTGGCCTGGCGCATGATGTCCCCAATCGGCCTTCTCAGTGAATACCCAGTCCATCTCCACTTTCCTCTGCATATTTGTTGGACGATAGGTTCTTGGTTGGTTGGTTGGTTGTTATCCAGAGTTCATTGTTGCTTATTCTTATTATTCTTGCCATCCTCCTGATCTTCACTATCGAGTGAGCGTAGGCAGCAGCTGTTCATGTATGTGTGTAGTTTGTTGGAAATGCGTTTTGTAGTGCACCAAGCGTCTCAACCATCACTTAGAAGCATTGACTTGACTGACTTAGTGTTGGAAGGAAATCCACATCTTGTTGTTTATGCTGAGTGCAGATCTCCAACTGACTTCAGATTAATGTAGCAAGGTTTGTCTTGCTGTCTTTCCGATGCTGGCTTTGACATCCTCATTTGTGCCGGTGCCCCCTGTAGTTGAAACGATGCTGTCTATGTAGGCAGGTGAAAGAGACAACTTCCTTTAGATTTCTTCCGTTGATGGTGATTAGTACTACATTACGTGAATATATATGTGGTTAGTGTAGAAGGACTCTCTGAATTTCCTATCTTCTTGCATATAAACGACGTTCCTGGTTATTTTTTAATAGATTTTTTTGAATGTAAGTGAATTTTCGTTGAAGTCAATTTTCATTGAAAGGTGGTAAACCCTCTTTTCTCTGATTGGATATCTATCTGAATCAGTTGAAAGGGGACTTTTCACGTTAGATGAGAATAATCAATTTGGAAACAGCTCTACCTAATCTAATTTTGTGACTTCTAGACTAAATGAAGAGGTTATAAGGTTTTCATCATTGGTGTCCTCGGAGGATTGCTCACAATTGATGGAATCTACATAAGGAAGCCAGGTCAGTCGATGAGACTGTGAACCTTCAGCGACTGAGATGGCTTAGAAATGAACTGTTTATGTGCAGTCATCGCAAACCTCGACATGAAATGCTTGGGGATGTTGAGTTATGTTGGAAGAAGGCTGAGGGTGACCAGACTAAGATATCGCATTAGTCCATGAAGATTTATTTATTTATTTGTTTATTTGATATATAGCGCACAGTGATACAGTATTATTTACTTGATTACGTTTCGAGCATAAATTATTGCCCTAACCCTAACCCTAACCCTTACCATTGCTCATAATCATACCAATGTAGTCAAATGTCTAAATAATAGAGCTAAGAAACTTACTAGTCATTGCAAGGAATTAAATAAGGGATTGAAACACATCAAAGAAGCGTTAATAATTATCCCCATCATTTTATTAAGAAATTCACATAAACACATGAGAAGCAAAATAATAACAGTAATATAAATACAAATAATAGCGACAACATGAGTAGAAAGGAAATCAACACCTCTATTGTAATACCATACAAGGAATGAACATCAGAAACCATACGTAGGATTCTCAACAAGGTTGGAATTAGGGTGGCATTTAAACCAACAAACTCACTTAGAGGTAAGCTTTGTCGGCTAAAAGATCCGATAGAACCAATTAAGCAAAATAATATACTCTACCAAATTCCATGTAATGACTGTGAGGTCAAATACATAGGTCAAACTAGCCGGTCAGGGTCAGTGGGATTAGCAGAACATAGGAATTTAGCTAAACATAGAACGATAGACCCCAATAAGATCAATAATCTAGAAAAACACTCAGCCATTGCATTACATTCATTAACACACAATAGGGTGGGATAAAACCACTGTACTTAAGTCTAATATAGCTAGGTGGAGAGAGAGATTAATTACTGAATCTTTGTCCATCGAATCCACACCCAACACATGTGGAATAGGAATGACGCAACACCTATACCAGAGATATGGGAAACTTTACTACCAATCAAAAAACAAAGAAAAATCAGGTGAAAGGACTATAAAATCAGATATCGAAAGAAGTGTGATTACATTGGTATGATTATTATTATTAGTCCCTTGGGTTCCTAGTGGAACATAGGGATTTAGTAGCACGTCTTCAGTAAACTCTGGTCTCTGAGATCTTTTGAACCTGGTTCCACGACAGCCCACAAGCTCTCATTTCCTCCTCGCACGATCTCCTCCATGTCACCCTCGGACGTCCAACTCGTCGCTTACCATGGGATTCCACTCGAGTGTCTGGCCTGACGCGTGATGTCCTCAGTCGGCCTTCTCAGTGCATGTCAAATCCATCTCCACTTCCTTCTAGTGCATATTTGTTGAGCGATAGGTTCTTGCTTCGTTGGTTCGTTCCCAAAGCTCCTTGTTGCTTATTCTAACTATTCTGGCCATCTGATCTTCAGTATCGAGCCAGCGTAAGCAGTTGTTGATGAATGTCTGTAGTTCATTGGAAATCCCTTTCGTAACGCGCCAAGTCTCTGAACCATACAGAAGCACTGACTTGACGTTGGTGTTGAAAATCTAGATCTTGTTCACGCTTTATACTGAGTGCAGAATATCTGCACACTGGTTTCAGGCTAATGAAGGCCTGTCTTGCCTTTCCGATTCTGACTTTGACGTCATCGTCTGTGCCGCTTTCTGTAGTTGAAACAGTGCTTCCTAGATAGGTGAAGGAGGTTACTTCCCTTAAGTTTCTCCCGTTGATGGTGACTGGAGTTTGTTGTTGTTGGTGGTGCGGTATCTTCATAACCTCTGTCCTCTCTATATTCACTTGAAGTCCCGTCTTCGCTGCCTCTTCTGGTATGATTATGAGCAATAATTTATGCTCCAAACGTAATCAAGTAAATAATACTGTATCACTGTGCGCTATATATCAAATAAACAAATCTAATATGGAATTACATTTTACCACAATGCCCAAGTTTTACACTTACATGAAGTCTCTAGTCTGAGTTGTTTGTCGAGGTGCAGACTGTTTCTCTAGGTTGGGGTGTCTTGGTGACATGGTTGAAAATGGGTCATAATGGTTGCATACTACTGGGAAGTATGGCAAAACTGAGTCAATGTGTCCGAGGTTCTACGTTAATTTTGTTAATCAGTCTGTATGTTTACTAAAGGGTACATTGGATATTCACTGTTGAGTGGTTCTGCATAATTGGTTACAGCGACATGTCAACGAGACTCACTTAAAAAGAATACAATACTTAGTTGGATACTAATTGTTCATCACTAGGCAAGCGATTGTCCCCACAGCTTTGTACTTAAGTAAAGCTTACATGTAACCTAGAAAGTTGTGTTTTATGAGAGATTCGAACTTGATTTACTGAGTACTGAGTCTGGCAATTTAGCTACTGAGCTAATGAACTCACGTCCACGTTTATGAATACTGCCAGTTGGCTTGCATTGAGTGCGCTTCTTTTGAAGAGAGACAAACTGCTTTGACTAGCATCTGTCTATCTAATTTATTTTCATCATTTCAATTTGTTAAAAAAGGTCACCAAATTTGAATCCTGGAGAATTTCATACACGTAATAAAGAACTCTACTGGGATAGATATGAAACTCATTCACCACAATCTGTAGCAATTCTCAGCGAAACATCATCTTCATCATCGACAGCAGAATCTCTAGGAATATCTTCATCTGAATTGTCTGCATCTGAAATATCCGCTTTGACAACAAAAATTGATGATTCGCGTAAACATATGATTTTTACACTACCACGTTCTTATATGAGTAAAAATCTACGTAGACATCAGTGTATGTTTTGGCGTGAACAACTTCCGATGCTGAGAGAACGAATTTTATACAGTAAGTTGATCATAATTTAGTTTTTCAACATTTCCAGTATTTTCCAGTTAAATTGTCTAAGGTAGACTTGTATAATAGATTGTTCTTAATATTTAGGGTGATAGACACATAGACAGGCGGATAGATAAACAGACAGACGGATTGATTGAATGACTTTCAGGTGGAGGGACAGACAGACAAACAAAATCAACATAAAATTCCGCATACAACTTCATCGGTTCAAGTTGCCACACTTTACAGTGGCCTACAAAGAACAGGTGAATTGAAAAAGATTCATATCAAAGTAAAAAAGGGGTACAGGAGGAAAAAGGATTTAAAACTGAAGGTTAGTCAAAATATTCAAGCCCGAGAAAAAGCCAAGGTATGAATGCATCTACGTTATTGCGACAGAATTTCAGTCATTTGACCGAGTTCTCAACCATTGGTTCCCATCATGTTGAGGATACCAACCAGGTAGTCTACACATCCACCACACTTCTCAAATGAACAATAAGAGATTTCACACACTGGTGACATGTTTTGTTCTGACTCATCTGAGCCATTATCTTGGTTAATCGAACTTCTGGCAGTATTGTACGTTGTGGCAAGCAGTGATTGAGCACGTGCACAACATATCCAAGTCATGTCAGCCTTTGAAGTTTCATAACCTTATCAACTGACTTGCTTTCCTCTGCCTTGTATACCTCACCTGACCTCTAAATTGCCTACCATAAGCAAGCACTTCCTTTGTTAGTTGGTCGAACATCTTGTCAACTGATGCCAGAGATGACGCAAGTTGACTAATGTAGCCTTAAACTAGGAATAGTTCCAGATTATACTCATATTTGACCGGTGACAGCGAAATGCATGCCAAACATACTCAGATTTGTGCTCAACGCATTCATAAGACTCTTTATTTTGTCAACATCTTCATTTGACAAGATGATATTATCTTTGTACTCCAAATCAGCCAGATATCTCCCTTTGAATTCAGAGGTACCTAAGTTCTACCCATTAGTACATCTATGGGGAAATCAAACACAAACGGTGACTGTGGACATGCCTGGCGGACACTAGTAGTTGTCGTCAATTCAAATGACAATTTTCCATATGCTCTTATGAAGATTTGTCATCTGAACTCCAATGGGATTCAGAGTAGCTATCTTTTAACAACAACAACAACAGCTCTGACTCTCCTCACCAATTGGTCCACCAGACCGAATTGTTAACCACTCTAGTCATTGAATATTTTACTAAGCTAATCTACTTAAGGTGACGTTTACAGTTTATTCTTGTTATTGAAACACAAAAATTGAAATATCCACTAGATAAAAGAAACAGAGAAAACGAAGTTAATGCAAAGAAAAATTAATTTTTGATATGAAAACTGATTATATTCAGGGATGATCTCCATTATGAATTGATATCGGACACTTAAGTATTATTAAACAAGGGTTACTGGTACTTGCAACACAATCCATATTCAATGTCTGGTATGCTGATTTCCTGGTGAATTTTTCCTATAGATCAAAAGGTTTCTGATCACACCTAGTGCTCGTTTATGCTTTATCTTTGGTGGGTTTCTTCTCACCATCTTTGAAGTATGCACAATAAACTAACTGATATGACATTATAATACTCAATTTTTTTTACTGGACTGACAGTTTACTCGTTCGAGGCTGATTTCATCACCAATGTACCGGACATATTCAGTTCATAGCGCTGAATTGTTCAGGTCGCTTGAATCTGGTTAGCTAGCTGACTTGCTCGGACCCATATGCCTAAAATAGAATAACCAATTTATAAATGATTAGCAAATTTCACGGTACATATTGAATTTATCTTCCTACACTGCTGATGATGCGGTTCTGAATAAGTGAAACGATCTTTTGTGAAACTTCTTACAGCTGATTCACCTGATCTGAACTAATTCGGCTGTATCAGCTGGATTTATCTGAGCATAAAACTAATGAATTGGTCGTTAGATGAGCAAAACAGTCGTCTGCTATTCAGCTGACTTTGATCTAGCTAACTGAGTGTTTATCCAACTATTAGTCTGTGTCGGACTTCTGGACGGTGGTTGAGAATTCCCTCCTTCACAGTTTATATTTGGACCTGTGAGTCCATACTAGTTATAAATTCGGGTGTGTGACGAATGCTGACAAATTAGAAACTAAAATTTAGTAAGGTATCATGCTGTGTTTATCCAAATCTTTTGTGTTATAACTTAATAATTTGAAAGTTTGGCAAATCTGACGTAGATCTCTATAGCTGAGGTTTTCAAACTCGATTAGTTCTTGCTGTAACATAGTTCAACAGTTAAGCAGATCTCATTTTCGACTTAAGATATCATTACTTGTAAGGTCTATATGAAACAGTTGAACACTGATACACCGTCTCCAGTTAGCTGGTTTTATATGGAAACTATTACAGTTATTGATAGTTATAACGATCGTTTCCACTATATCCAACTGTTTATTAAGGATCAATTGTACTGTCCTTCAGTCCGCTCTGTTCTACTGTATGAATGTGAAACATGACCAGTGAACATGGAAGACATGAGAAGGCTTCAAGTATTTGACCCCTTTGCCTTCATAGCATAGACCGTGTGTCGTAGTGTCACCATATGAGTAACGCAGAAGTGAGGTGTAGAGTCCAACCACAATGTTTACCGAAGTAGGTTCAGGCTGAAAAAAGGCTTAAGGCGGCCAGACTAACATGGGATCACTCCATGAAGTCCTTGACTCTAAGTATGAGCCATGTAGGGCAATGCCGACTAGCCGGCTGAACTCCGCGGGAGAAGAGAAACAAGCGGTTGGGGACTCTATGTGATGTTATGGTTCAGAACTGATGTCATTGGCGCAGATGCATACACATATGTCATCATTTTCCCATTCTTCTTCGCTGTGCCTATTTTCTACTTCTACTTTTGGACAATTCTTTCTTGCTTCTTTATCTCTCATTTTATTCCATTATTACTTAGTGTGCTGATGTGGCAACTTAGGTCACTGTCAGAACAATATTTTCACGCGAAATGATCATTGTCTCTGATTGATGATGTAAACAGTGACAATATTCAAGGAAATACCGTGAAACATGAGGCTAGTGTTGGATTAATGTTCAGTCTAGAATCGAGAACGAATTGAAAAGTGCGAATAAGTTTCCTTATGGAAGTGGTTGATTTGACCAGTACAAGAATCTGCAATTCATAATACATTCAGATAGCAATTTAAAACATGTTGAAAAGAACGAATCTAATGTGTATGTTCGGTGGAAAATGTTAGTAGTTAAAGATCCAAGCAAGCTGTCATTGATGAGGAAGATTAGAACTGAGTTGGATAGTTGGTTTTAGTCAAACTCCTGTCTACATTGCTTACTTGAAATGGTTTCAATCCTACGGATGTCTATACATTCTCAGAGTCGTTCTAGCGTGTTAGTTATATACTCTGCATCTTATTGCAATATTATTATTATCATTCCAATGCTTGCCAACAGTATCTTGTACGTGTTTTCCAGACTCTGCTTGTAGATCCAGCCAACATGTTGCAGCACAGCATGGTACAGATGAGCTTAATTATCGCCAACCATCGATTGGTACATTATATCCAAATGTTATGAAGCCTTTTGAACAAAATCAGTCAAGAAATCAAGCAGCTCACCGTCTTAACTACTTAATAAGCATAAAGATCAACTTTATTCTCATTTTATTGTTTACATTGGTTGTGAATTACAAAAGATGGTTGTGAAAAATTTAGAGGAAGCGTTCTTAACGTTTTTTCATCCTTTTAATTTGCTTTGCTTTTGTTCTCCTTTTTTTTTCGTTAAAAAATCAAGCATTTCAAGGTTATTCTCCGATAACACTATTTAAAATGTACTTGAGTGTATTTTAAAACTTGTCCTGATTGGTTGTGAGTGGATAACCTTGAAAAGGTTGTGAAATAGATATTTTAAACAAAGATTAACAGTGTTGCTGCATTTAAACGAACTTTCTACCATTGTATTTCTAAACGGTTTTGATTTATTCTGGTTGTGTTCAACTTGTTTTACTTATTATTGCTAATTTTGAATTATATGCTTATATATATATCTATTTCCAGTGTGTTTTAAGTAATAATCCAAAAGTTTGATATACTATTATATTGAAATTTGACCTTTATTTCTATCCTTTTATTGATCTACAGTGTTTTGTATACATTTCACTGTTACTGAAAGTATTGTCAGTATTATTATTGTTACGAGTTGTACTACTACTTATCTACTTATTTCAGTAGTATATGTCGACGGTTGTGATATACTGTTTGGTTGTGCAATAATTTGTTTTATTCTAAGCAGAGCTTTTTTCCTAATCAGAAGTCAATTTACTTTTTTAAAAACTTTTATCTTGTATCATAATAACTAACGGAAACATACTACTTTACTGTGTTGTGAAATCGATTTTGACAAGTTGTTGTTTTTCTCCACACACTAAAAAGAGGAAACACCACTTTTTTCGCTGATGATCTAATGACTACTTGTTGTAATAACTTTATTCTTAAAATTGATTTATTGTGATATGAGTAATAAAAAATTATGGTCACTATGAAGAATTTTTGTTTGCATGTGGGAAGTCGCGGAGTTTTTTATGAATACGTTTTACACTACTTATTAGTAACATAGATATTTGTGAAACATTTCTTTGACATTGTTGAGAAGTGACTGAATGCACTTGGTATTAACGATAATCCTAATATCTGTATTTGGATCATATACGGTGAGTTTCATTTATGTAGATCAAAGCTGTCAGTTGTTGACTGGAGCACACTATTCTCTAGGTTCTCCTTAGAGCAGTCAGCCAGCAACGGTTAAAATGGTGACTCCATAACGACCGAGAAGTAATTTGGCAGGCAGCTGCTTCAACACTACGGTTTTAATGCCACAAACCTTTATCAACCTCACTCAACAGCAGCTGTATGGTGATGGTGATGCTGCATGCCAAGTGATTCACAATGGGAAGCTCAGTGATGCCTCTGAAGTGAAGTGAAGACAAGAGTAAGACATGACAAGGTTGCCTACTATCACCGTTGATCTTCCTGATTGTGGTCAAGTGGACTGGACTGGATCATGCAACCGACAACTGTAAGGAGGGAGGCGATGGGCATACTCTGACTGACCGATAAAAAGAGCCTAAAAGATTTGGATTTCACCCATGATGATTTATTTCTGATGCCTGAAGTGGCACAAACTGGAGTATGTACAGGCGAAAACCAACAAGTTGACAGAAAAAGTGAGGTGAGTCAGCGAAGATGGAACTTGCTTCAGGTGAAAGTGGAGAAGACAGAGGTGATGAAGATACGCAACCAACAACAGCAGCATGAACAGCGTGCACGAATCACCATGAATGGGGGAAATCTAAAGGAAGTTGTCTCTTTCACCTGCCTACATAGACAGCATCGTTTCAACTACAGGGGGCACAGGCACAAATGAGGATGTCAAAGCCAGCATCGGAAAGACAGCAAGACAAACCTTGCTACATTAATCTGAAGTCAGTGTGGAGATCTGCACTCAGCATAAACAACAAGATGTGGATTTCCTTCCAACACTAAGTCAGTCAAGTCAATGCTTCTAAGTGATGGTTGAGACGCTTGGTGCACTACAAAACGCATTTCCAACAAACTACACACATACATGAACAGCTGCTGCCTACGCTCACTCGATAGTGAAGATCAGGAGGATGGCAAGAATAATAAGAATAAGCAACAATGAACTCTGGATAACAACCAACCAACCAACCAAGAACCTATCGTCCAACAAATATGCAGAGGAAAGTGGAGATGGACTGGGTATTCACTGAGAAGGCCGATTGGGGACATCATGCGCCAGGCCAGTTGCTCGAGTGGAATCCAAAGTGAAAACGATGAGTTGGGTGTCCGAGGGTGACATGGAGGAGATGGTGTGAGGAAGAAATGAGAGTCTAAGGGAAGTCGTGGAGCCAGGTTGATAATACTGCAGAGAAGAGAGTGAAATGGTGACGTGTTACTGAAGCCTTTTGTACATTGGGAACCCAAAGGATAAATAATAATCAGTAACGACTCCACCTTTTTTTATGCATTCCCATTGTTGAATTTCAACTGCACATTGGAAGTACATCTTGTCAACCTGAACATCATTATCTTCCGGTCAATAACATAGAAAACATAGCTCCCATGGGTAAAGAAAGATACCACATCAACGGAATTCATTTGCTAATCGAATAGGTTGATTTTAGGAATTGGGTCGACACACTCGAAAGAATCCATTACAACTTTCGTATTTAGCCGTTTACTGATTTGTCTGAGTACTCCCAATAGCCACTTACCGATGAGATAGTATGGTGAATTGTTCATACCGAAAATTGGACGCAGAAAAAGATCTTCCTTGTTTAACTGAACTGTTCAACAAACTGGTACGAGATCATTTATTTGGTTGATCACATTTTCAAATTGGACTATTTAGTCTAAATTAAGATTTTCTGTGTAGTTCAAGTTCAACAACGAGCTATACAGACAAAATGATATAGTTACTATGGGTCATCACTTGGACCGCTGCTAGCTAACTGCAATAATGTAAACCTAGAGAGTAGTCTTTTGCTATCAACAGTCGATAGTTTTCAATTGCATGAAATATATTTGGATGATACCTATGTTTTCATTTGTGGCACGAATCAACGTCAACAAAACAACCACAGGAAGGTGTGCTGAGCTCTGTTGTAACTCTTTAGTAAGAGCAAGTACATCGAATTACTAACAGCTCGCTCATGTGACTATAATCAGTTTGTTGTAAATTGTAGCTTCTTTCATTGTGACATCAGTGTTTGTGAACTGAAGTGTATATGACTAACCCATGAGTAGAAAGTCAGGTGACTAGAGCTGAAATAGTTTTCACGTGCGTATAGTTGCTACATCTGTTGTATTGTAATCAGAAAACCCACAGTGTATGCCTTTGTGACAGCTGTGCATAAAGCAAATCGCTTATCCAGCACATTTGATCACAAATTGACCTAATCGGATCACTGTATATTCTCTAAAAAAGTACATATGTGCAAAGGTTTCTTATCAGTTAAGTTTTTAGTTGTTCTTGGATGGTTATCGTGACAGAATTCATGAGTCATTTCACATCTGATTTTCATAATCAGCTGAGTACAACTTTTGTAATAATTTTCCTTAAGGGATCAGCTGTAAATCTGTTACTTTTTCTTATTTTATTTTGTTACTTACTATTTAAAAGTAGTATGATTATTCTCCATACAATTTTGAGTTGTTCGCCTGTGCAGCACGCAAAACAAGATCCCGTATAAGCGTTCGTTCACATACTGACTTCCCAAAATGGTTTTTCGTAAGCACGAAAAAACTGAGAATACAATTCCAAACTTCTAATGGCATTTTGCTGTTTGGTCTGAAATCATTTTTGGTATTCCATCATTTATTAGATTGAATGGCCCAACGACTATTGACCATTGTGGTTGTCTCCATGTCTTGACACAAATGGTGGGAGCGCGCAAGCGGCGAAATATTTGACGAGCATTTTGTCAAATTTGGAGCTGATAAACTATGTGTACCTGTTCACTGAAATGCTAGTCCAATATTCTTCACGAATACCTAGTATTTTACGCAACGACAGCATAAAACTAAGACAGAGAATCTGTAAGATTGTCAAAATAAGTCGTTGTTGCATGATTAGTCACCAAATGACCTTGAATACACCAGTAAGAAAACGTTTGCTCCTCTATAGCATTTAATGTGGAAATTTACTAAAAATTAGACTTCATATGGTCCTTCGACAATGTCTAGGAAGTCATTCACGTTCTCGACTGCTTCTTATGGTACAGAGTGAAAGCACATACCATACAGATCTTTGTTGATATAACTGCACATCGTTCAACCTCCTGAACTGTTATATGGATGCAAATGAGCCTGCAAACGGTTCCCTATCATGTCCAATTTATTTGTACTCACCACAGTAGAAGGATTTAAAGGAAAGAGTAGAGGATTTCTGAAGGAACATTACGTTGATGACTTTAGGTATCAGTTTATTGTCTGCCTCATACAACTTTATTGAAATGTCTTTACAAATGTTCTGTGTACCAGTATTGTATAGATGTTGAAAGTAATTCTGTTCCTATGTGCATGCTGGATGTAGATAAACACAATTGATTATGTGGCTTCAAATATTCTGCTATGCCTCTTGCTTCTTCTGTTGTTGTCATGCAATTTGTTCACACTTGTCGGTTGGGATCTGGTCACACAGAGTTGATTCCTTCCAGTTAACTTGGTGACTGCTGACAGTGGTGTTCGCAGTGATAGTTTTCAATGTGAGCACTGTCACTCACTTGCTTGGGGGATAGATCCGACTGATGACTTCCAAACAGGAAGAAACATGCAACTCGAATTCTACTGCTCTAGCCACCAACTAGAGTATTCTCACAGTATCGAGGCCTTCACGTGAGGAGACCATCTGCCATCAAAGTTCAAGTCATTCGACCCAGTATACTGAGTCAACGGGAAAATACAAGTATCTGTAAACAAGAGTTGATATCTGTCTGCATCTCCATGTTAAGATTGGAAAAGGCCGGCCCATTGGAAGGTGATTGTGTATAGATTTCCAAGAATAAACTTGAGTGGATTCGGTGTAAACGGGTCCAGCTCGTTGTCTGTTCGCTGCCCACTGACTTAACGCATGCTACAAACTTACTTGAAGTTCAATGGTATCTATTGGGGAGTCCAGTGATCTTCGTATGTGTGCAAGATGATCGTGTAGCATACGACAATGTCAACTTCTTCTCCATAATGTTGTCTTGTTTCGGAGATAATTCCTCGTCTGATTCAGCTGAAATTATCATCATCGAAAGTGTGCTAAAATGTATCCATGTTCCATGATATCCTTTCAATAATTCAATGCTTCCTAGAATGGCTGTACAGTTAACTTCAACTTGATTGGTCACCTCAAGGTCATTTGGTGGCCACTCAACGTCGGTAAAACTCTCTACCTTCACTACAATATTGACTGACCAACTTCCTGATGTAACCATTTGACATTTTATGAATGGTGAATACAACTGTAGTATTGCCTGATAAAGTATTGTTGAAAAGGAATATTTCCTTGATGATAAAAAGAAGTGTCTTCTTCTCATTCACGAATGGAAAGAAGGTGAGATGTGTGTTAGAAGTTTCTATAATCAGTAGGTGAATGAGCGGGTGGGAAACTGAAAAAGCACGAGGAAGTTTAGAGTTTGAGGACACTGGTGATATGTAGTCAAAATAACTAATCACTTGGTTGCAGCCATTTGTTACAACTTCTCATTGGGAATTTATGGAAATCTAATCTCACAGCATGTTACTTATTAATTGATTTCAAGTTGGTATACATCACAGTGAATTGCACTGAAAATGTGTTCCAACAGTCATGATAGCTAGCAGTGGAATACGAGATAGATATTTCATCCAATTCCCGAATCGTCAGCTGAATGTGCCTGCTTCCCAGTAAGTGATGCTTTTTCTACTAATACTCAAATAGAGGCGTAAGGATCCGTGCACAGCAGCTCATATGCTAAAAGAGACTAGTCATTTCACTTCACTCGTTGACGAGATTATATAAGGAATTTTCAACAAAAAAACAATTACTATTTATTGACATAGTTGTTGTTCTCCGCTGTTTTGTTGGATGGAATTGTTCAACCTGTTTTGGCATATGGGCTCTTATGTGTATTCCTCTATATTACTTGAATGTTGTTTATGATCATTTGATCGGTTGTGGCTAGCAGAATGATCCAGTTTGACGCTCGTTTCCCCTATTTAGGACTCGTCAAATAATTTTCAAAAATGATTCGGTTGATAAAACTTCAATTATTTGTTATATTAGCATACTTGTATTATTAATGAGAATAGAAGTAGACAAATCAACCTCTCATCAACATTTACAATAGGCATACATACATCATAATGATTATTAGTATGTGTAATTGTACATTGAAAAGTAGAATGACAATGATGATGTTAATGAAATGAAATGGTATATTGTCCACATTTTTTCAAAATATTTGAATTTTTAAGGTGTGTAATTGTTTATTTTCGTTGTCTTCTTTTTAGTTATTGATTTGGATAGTCTAAGATATGAAAAAATAAATAAATAAATGAAAGCAGATGAAATAAACGGAACCATAATGATTATGATTTGACTATCTAAGGTAGCCGCAGTTCGGTAGACTAGTATTTGTATAGGGTGATGATTGATGAGATGAAGATCTGGACCACGACCGGACTCGAACCCACGACCCCCGGGTTACGGGTCTGCTGCTCCATCAACTGAGCTAGCTGGAATTTTATTTCATTTCAATCACCAAGGGCTTTGCCCGACTGAATGGTTTTCATGCTGTGAACTAGCTTCGACATCAACTTTCATCTACACACTATGACTAATCATTGGAGAATAACGATTTTCAAGTTTTTGTTCATGGTAGGCTGATATCAGTTGGAGTAACAAAGGAAACCTGGGAACACTGGACAGCTGTTTCGTCCTAGTATGGGACTCCTCAGCAATTTCACCAATTTCATTGTAGTCTAGTTCTTAGTGCTAAACACCAGATTAGGTGATTTAATGTTCCAGTGCTCATTGGTTGATTTTAAATTATAGTAGACAATTGAAAGATAGCCGTGTTTATCACATATAGTTATTACTCTTATTGATACGCTTCAGTAACACGTAATTCCACCCTCACAGAAAATATTTGAACCCACTGGTAACGTCTTTGATTACAACATCGTATGAAGTGACTTCTAGTCTCATGGGATACGTCAGTTTTCTTAGGGCTGTAGATACGCCATGTGCTGAGTACCGCTGACAACTGTGAAACCTGGGAATTCATTCTTCTCAGGTTGATAATCATTATGAAATGACATCAGCTGAAGGAACATCGGAAACCTGTGAGCACTGGTCAGCTGTAGGACTCCTCACCAGTGCGCACCCATGACCCCGACCCACCCCCGCCAGGAATAGAACTGAGGACTTTCAGGTTCCGTGGCCAGCATGGTAACATTGAGCTAGCCACTAGGTCGGAATCCAACCATTCTAGTGCTCACCGGTGAATAGCTTCGAGAGACGATTCCTGAAGTTCCAATGAGAAGTCGTGACTGGTGGGGCAAACCTGGTGGACGTGAGGACTAATACTCAACAATGACAATGAATGATGGTCGTGCTATATCGTGAACTGAAAGAAGTTGGAAATATGGACGGTTGGGTTCCGACCCATTAGCCCAATGGTAACGTGCTAGCCATTAGACCTAGAGGCTTTGGGTTCGACCTCTAGCGGGGTTGTGGGTGAGCACTGCTAAGGAGCTCTATACTAGAATGAAGCAGCTGTCCAGTGCTCCCAGGTTTCGAGTGTTCCTTCAACTGTCCATCATGAATGCCGACTTGAGATATATTTATGTATCAACCTCAAGTTAAGACAACTTTTCTGTCTGTTTGATTTGAAAAAGGTAAAATCAAAGTGCTGAGAAGTTATTTGTTAGCGTCTTGTATCTACTAGGCACATTAGGCCTCTAAGCCTATTGACAAATTTAAAAAGAAAAACCAGCCTCCTTACAATCACCTCAAACTTGGTCTGTCTGTTTATAACTAAGAAACCTGATGAGAATAGTTACTGAGTAAAATATTCATCGTTCAGATTGTTCTCAAGCAGATTTCTAGAGTGTAAATCAATATTTTAGGGTATTGATCGCAGAATTGCTTATTAATCCTTATTTGACATATTGATCAGTTGTTTTTCCGTATAGTCAAAGTGTTTAACCAATCGGCGTTCAGTGAAAAATCAGCTTGTTAATTACTTACAATGTTCTTTAACAGTATGTGTTTATCGTGACTCAGTGGTATGGAGGATAAAGCTTTGCAGTTTGAAGCTATAAGTACGGGTCCTAAATAGGACGAAATGCATATCGTGCACTCCACTACTAAACAACATTAAGCATGAAGCATCAAGTAATTTATTTCCGTAAACTATAACTGTGATTTACAACGTCTTATGGCTGTATCAATAACATCGAATAATTGAAGACTGAGGTAACGCAACTTCAAACAGAATACATAACAACCTAAAGTCACTTAACTCTATGATCATACTTCACAATTGACTCAGAGAAATCAACAAGAACTCAGAGTTAAACGGTATAGTATTAGTGATTGTCTGCAGAACAAATCTGTCTCAAATCTCTCCTACAGTTGCTTAGCTTCCCTCTATGTGCATGCACACATACACAAAGGATGCTATTAATCACCTATGCTGGAAATGACGATGTCAGTGGATTGTTGACTGAAGAATTTCATTGGTTAGTGAACATCGTCAACATTAGAAAGTATGTATGCAGGTGTGAAATATGTGTCGTTTTGATGGTTTGTATTTGCATAGTTTGATTCTATAGATCTATGCACTTGGATTGGTTTATTGAAAAAGCTGATGAGAGGTACAACTAACTATAGGATGATTTTACTGGCATATCTCAACTACACCATCATTCCGATAAGTTGAGGGTAACATTCATCGAATGTTATTAAGAACAGATAACAAAATACATATCGATTGATGAACTTACCTGACGGATGTATACAGCACGTTTTACTTTGTTATCTATTGGGCCGGTACTTTCGAATAATATGATGGGGGTGGTGGTGGTTCCAGAGGTGGTTCAGTAGACGTTGGATAAGGTGGTGGTTGGTCTGTAGCCACTGTAGATGTTGGCATACCTCCTTGTGGTTGTCCTACTGGATATGGGGTTTGTGAGGGGTAGGCAGTTGCAAAATCAGTTGTACCAATAGGCTGAGTTCTAGGAACATGATTGGAAGCAGGATTTGGTACTGTATTAATTGTAGCGCGTTTTACTGAAAGGAAAATATAAAAAAATTAGCTGAAGAGTGAGACAGAATTGTACAGAAAAAGAGAAGTTACTTGTTCCATGCAATTAAGGCAGTCTATCATCTCTGAGTCATTCATGGTCACTGTTGTGATCACTTTGTAATTGTTTAGTAACTTAAAGAATATAAGTATTGTATAGTAATGAATGAGGATTTTCATAATTAAACTACACGAAGGTGAGGGTCACGTTTATGAGGTAAGCCATCACTTATACGGAGTGTTCTTCCCTGCCCCAACCTCACGTATGTTTTCATTTCCATTGGGGTGTTTCTGTGTGCATATCCACCAACAACACCAAAGTGTTTGTACATAACATGCAACCAAATATCCATACAAATCACTGAATCCCTTCAGAACCAATTAGATGGTTTAGAAGTTTCAATAATCACATAACTATCCGTTTAATTGTTCCGTTTTATTCGGTTACTTTTCAAATGTCTATGACGACAACCCTCTACAATGTTGTCAGAGATCAAGGCTGTTTGTAGATGGAAGAAACAACTAAGTGTTCTGTGATAAACCAGTTGGCTATACCATCTCTTCTCTCTTCCAGGAATCATACAACAAAATGAAATGAAATTTGAAGGTAATGGCTGAAGTGTTAACAGCTTTTGTCGACATCCAAAATAATATCAGTAGTCAAACGTGACAGCAGCTAATAAACAACAGCATAGGTGTATTATTATTATTTATCCTTGGGTTACTAGTGGAACATAGGACTTCAGTAGCACGTCTCCAGTGCACTCTCTTCTCTGCAAACTTTTGAACCAGTCGCCACGACTGCCCGCAAACTCTCATTTCTTCCTCGCACGATCTCCTCTATGTCACCCTCAACTGGGACGCTTAGCTCGTCGTTTCCCATCTGGGTTCCACTTAAGGGTCTGACGCGTGATGTCCCTAATCGGCATGCTCAGTGAATGCCCAATCCAATCCATCTCCATTTCCTTCCTGTGCATATTTGTTGTTGACTGATGTTGGTGTTGGAAATCCGGATCTTGTTCACGCTTTATACTGAGTGCAGAAGATCTCCACACTGGTTTCAGGCTAATGAATGCCTATCTTGCTTTTCTGATTCTGACTTTGACGTCCTCCTCTGTGCCACCTGTAGTTGAAACAGTGCTGCCTACGTAGGTGAACGAGGCTACTTCCCTTAAGTTTCTCCCGTTGATGATGATTGGAGCTTGTTGTTGTTGTTGGTTGGGTATCATCATCACCTCCATCTTCTCTACATTCACTTGAAGTCCCATCCTCCTTGGCTGCCCTGCCTCTTCTGACAACTTGTTAGTTTTCATCTGCAGATCTTCCAGTTTATGTGACATTAGACACAAATCACCGGGAGGTCCAAATCTTCTAGGTTCTTTCCCCCCGTCCAACTTATCTCCCTATTCTCGCTGCTCACGGTCTGTTGCATAATCCAGTCCACTACAATCAGGAATATCATGGGGGATAGTAGGCAGCCTTGTCTTGTCTTGCTCCTGTCTTCACTTCACTTCAAAAGCATCATTGAGCTTCCCATTGTGAATTACTTGGCATGTGGCGTCGTCATATATCTTCTGTTGAACGAGGTTGATAAAGGTTTGTGGTATTCTGTAGTGTTGAAGCAGTTGCCAGATTACTTCTCGGTCGACGCTGTCGAAGGCCTTCTCAAAATCGATGAGGTTGAGGTGAGGTAGAGGGTTGACTGCCATTGTATACTCTGTTCTATGATGATGTGTAGCGTTGTAATTTGGTCCACACATGATTTGTACTTCCTGAATCCAGCCAGCCTGCCCGTCGTCCGGTCGTAGTTTGAATTCAGTGCATCCTTTAGTGTCTCCACGATGATGCGGCTTAATATTTTGCTTTGGGTGGAGAGGAGTGTGATTTCGTGCTAGTTCTTGCAAACACTGAGGTCTCCCTTCTTCGGGAGTTTGACAAGATAGCCCTTCTTCCAGTCAATCGCCATATACCTTTCCTTCCTTCCAGACATTCTGCAATAGTGGTGTGAACATGTGCGCTGTTTTCTCTGCGTCTGCTGTCATTGCTTCTGGCGGGATTCCATGTGGTCTTGGTGCTTTCGCGCATTTCAATAGCTTTATGGCTCTCAGTACTTCGACTTTTGTTGGATGGTTTGTGTTCACTTGTAGTTCTGTGACTGGGCTACAGGTGGTATTTCTGAATTACAAATTATTAAAGTAACTGGTTCTTTTGATAGATTTAAAGTGTAATATGAAGACGAAGATTATCTGAAACATGTGATGCATTAGCGCTATACACATTTCGAACAATCTGAGTACAGACATGAAGCCAATAGGAAACACAGGATTATGAAGGGCAAAGTAAAAAATAACAAAATCATATCACCCTTGGTATGAAGATTAATATCAGTACACCACTAAGGTAGGTTAAACGTGAGTACAAATTGTTTTTATATACTTTAAGCAGGCGGCTTGAATTTATAGATGGCAAGAGTTTGAGTGAATTTCAACACCCTGTCCTGATCACACTTATGTGACGCCTGGAAGGATGCTGTGATATTATCTGTGTTCTAACTATATTTAAATGATGGGTAATGGCTAGCAGTGGAATCCAGGATGGGGATTTCGTCGTATTTGAGACTTCTAAGCTGGATGTGCAACAGCTGGATGAACAACATCACTCACCGGGAAGCAGGTAGACCCAGCTGACTGGTGAGTCCCAAATAGGACGAAATGTCCGTCCTGGATTCCACTCCTAGCCACTATCCGTCATAACAATTGGATATGGTGTAATCTTTTGTATGTTGTTTTGGTTTGTGTTGTAACATGAACTTTGTCTTCCCTACAATGATGACCTTGGGTGCATAATATGTTTTACAGATGGCCGGTTTAAGTCTTTTCCTCATAACAAAGCTATGTGAATTACCTCTAAATTGTAATGAGATGTAGACATTTTTCTTAGCAATGAAACACTGTGTACTTTTCAATGGGATATAACTTTTGCACCTGTTGATACGTTTCAACGGGTAGCCAGCCATTCTGTATCAATGTTATCGTCAGTAAGTTGGTTTCTTCCTCCTTGGTGTCATCAGTGTAGATGCGGATTATCCTGTTGAATGAGACTGGATAATAGCTGTCCATGTAGGTTTCGTGATCAAGCCATCCTCCCATCGATTAGGCACTATGACTAGGAACAGTAGTTGGTTATTCTTTTCTTGTTCATATGTAAAGGTTAGTGTGATCTTGAACTATGTTCATCTTCTCTAGTAGACATATCGCGTAGTCAGGTTTGTCACAGATAATGGCTAGATATTCGATATATTCGATGATATTGTCAACCATATTTTTACAAAGTGTGACATATATACAACAGCTAGCAATGATTCTAATGGACTAGCCATCGCAATGCCGTCAGTCTGTCGAAAATATTCGCCCTCGAATGTACACAATAATAATAATAATAATAATAATAATAATAATAATAATAATAATAATAATAATAATAATGGTAGTAATTTGAAACAACTTAAAGGGATAGGGGATATAAAACTGTTCTAAGATATACGGTCCCACAAAATATCTTTTGTTCTTACCAGCGGCACATTAGCAAGTAAAGAATTTACATCAAAGAAGTACCAATGAAACAATCAGTAGGATTGAATGTATCTTTCAATGAAGACTGATAGAAATGACTTTTGATATGATTCAAAATCTTCGCCAATCGTTTAATTAGATTATGTGCAGGTAACAAGTTGATTTGTGTAATCAGTCAAATTGTCTAAAATGTGTACAGCGTTAATACATGACGGCATGTTTCTATCACATAACCATTTACCTGCTATTTTGACCATAACCTTAAAATAACCTACATTGATGCTTTCACAATGTTACTGGTTTTTCTTCTTTCTACTCTCAAGGCTGAACTCTCACTGGTTGTTAACTACTTTTATTTATTACATGGATTTAGTGTTGTCAGGGTCATACAGAAATGTATTTATTCAGCATCGTTATCAACTGTATTGACTTATGTGAATGGTCTATCTTCTCTTCTTGCCTTTGTGAGTCAGTGGTATAGTTGTAGTGGTGGTTGACGTTCTGATTGGCATCAGAGTTGACTCACTTATGCGTTAGGCTGTTAGGTCAGATATTATGCTGTTCGAATTATGAATGTTCCACACTTACAGGGTAGATTTATAAACTTGTACGTCCATCCATTAGGGGATTGCTTATAAAATCACCATTACAGAGTGTCCAAACAAGTTTATTGATTGCCATGACTTATGCTGCATATCCGTCTGTTAGTTTTAGTTGGAACTCATCATTTTAGAAGTAGACTGACTTCTCAAAAGATTGTAGCGTATACTAAGATGGAGAATGAGAAAGAGAGATCTTATGTCATACGTCATATATTTCTGACCATGAGCGTACATGTTCCAACTTAACTAATTAGAGGTAATCAATAGGAAACCCTGTTTCATCTAGATAGGTTTCACGCTTGTTTGCACTTTTCAGCAACTTTGAAGGAACTGATTTCCTACCTGAGATTGAAAAGCGTGTCACCTACAGCCAGTGAGCTGTTAAGGCTGCACTTAACCTACTTTAGGATAAGAGTAGAGGAAGTGAATAGTCGTTCTAAAGCAAACTAAGTACCAGTCCACTCACAAACCAAGTAGACCGTGACCTGAATACACCTCAGTGGTAGCATCTCTGATTGCAGTAACGGGTGACCCAGTTTTAGATCTCACAGCGGACATAAGTTCATTTGAGGTTACAGATACATCGATTACTTCTACCCATCTAACATCAATTCTGGCAGGATTTCAGTGGTTTACCGACAGGCATTAGTCCATGAAGTTGGTAAGTCCTCATATGCCTTCAAGTTTAATATCCTAGCAAATGTCTGGATATAACAAGGATAGGGATGATAAGTCACCTTATCGATCAAGAATACCTCTGAGTGAAAGATTTTCTGTTTAATCGGCCGAATCACTCTCTAAGCCATTCGCTTC